CCCTTTGGCACAAAAATGTTAACCTGTTATGTTTCCCCAATAGTTCCCCTAAAATTGCATAGGGCTGTGCCAGTGCAATATGGAAGAAAATGTCTCCAGGTGTGCTGGCAATGCATTTGGCAAAAGCAAACAGAGGACCAAATATGCTTGATAGAGGGATAAGCAGGCTCAGTTCAAAAAGAAAGGAAACATCCTCAGTGGACCCCAGAACACATGTTTCCTCCCTATCCCCCCCATGGGAGTGAGCCTGAAGTGTTGATTGGAATCCACCCATTACAGTAGGAAGGCGCTGACTGAGACAGAGAAGAAGTTGGTCAATGGAGGTGGATGCTTAGGTGCCAATTTAGACCAGGAGTCAGAGGGCTTGGATCAGGGGGATTGGGTCCCAAACTTGAGAGAAAAACAACCTTCCAGAGACTAAAAGAAGGTAACAGAGGCAAAAACAGAGTATGAAATTGTCAGAAGGACCTTCAGAAGCTGGAGGATACATGGAGGAGGACCATTAGAGGTGGTGAAGGGCATAGAGATTATGCCAGATGAGGGTTGGTTGAAGGAACTGTGGGTATTTAGCCTAGAGAAGGGAAGACTGGGGGTGGGAAATGACCTACTAGTCACATTTAAAGAGTTGGGCTGGCTTACCGAAAAGGAGTTAGAATACTAATCCTTGATCCCAAAGACTAGAACCAGGAACTGTGGTTAGGATTTGCAAAGAGCAACATGACCTCAGGAAAAACTTCCTAACAATTAGAACCACTTGTTTCATTTGAAGTCTTTAAGGGAACCCTGGATGGGGAATGCAGAAAAACCATGAATCTATTATTTTTTTTTTTTGGTGAGGCAATTGGGGTTAAGTGACTTGCCCAGAGTCACAGAGCCATCTATAAGTCTATCTTGAGACCTTACTTCTGACAAAGCGCTTTTGATTCTTAATCACTACTCATTTAGGAAGTAGCCCAGCCACTGGACACCAATCAGAGGAGTTCTTTGTGTCCTCTTGGCAAGTTTCCAGAGCTCATGCCTACCTCCATGAGAGTTCACCTTCCCACTGAGGTCTACACCATGTCCTCTCATCAAGTTGGTTGGAGACTTCTTCAAAATGGTCAGGGAGTCCCAGATCAACCCTCCTTACAGTTGTAAAGAGTCACATAGGGAGGAGCTTGCCAACAGTGAGAGGTTTCCCCAAGTCTCATGAGTTCCTTTGGGAGGGAATGGGTTCTCAATCAGAGGGGATCTGCAAGGAAAGGTTTACTGATGCTTGTCAAGCATGTTGTAGAGAGGATTTTTTTTAGGTATGAGTAAAACTGGATGGTCTCAGAGAATCTTTCTAACCCTGAGATTCTGTCATTCTGGAATTCCTGTCCATGTGTATGATCCTCCTTCTGGCCCATGATTCTAAGACTCGAAATAGTTGTAAATATGAATGTAAGTGAGTCATGTCTGCATAGGCACAGATTCTCTGAATGACAGACCCCATTAAACTTTGGAGCAGAGAGCTGGCTGTGCAAAGAGCACAGAGATTGGAGGTATCTTTCTGAATGTGGAGGGTTTTGAATGGGGGATGGGTAGCTCCCTATTCCCCACAGGATAAAAAATAAGTCTTCCTTTTGGCATTTGAAGCTCTTTATAACCTAGCGCCTTCCTACCTTTCCAGACTTCTGGTACTTTATTCTCCACACGTTTTTGATTCAGGAGCATTGGCTTCCTTGGAATTCTCTACCCTTCTCTGTACCTTTGTGCTGGCTGTCCTCCATGTATACATGGCCCATGTACATTCTGGAGATCCTTATGCTGAGTCCCCCTCCTACTGACAAGCTGGGGCCTTTGAGCTTGGCTATGTCTTCCCCTAAGGGTACTAGGAGTACTTCTGAGGGGTCAAGGGTGGTTTTCTAATGTCATCAGCTCCAGCCCTTGGTGCTCTACTTCTTCCCCATCCCTGTCCAAAGTAATCAGTTGAGTCATTTAATTAGCTGTCCTTAAGTTGCCTTTGGAAAGGTGTATTTACCAAGGTGGTCAGGCTTAGTATACTGCCTGGTATAGGGTGTTCAGGGAAGACTAATACCTCTGGTACGAGGGCTGCCTAGCACTTTTCTGAGCTGCTGTTCACCTTTCGTGTCAACCTGATTCACCTGACTCTCACCTGTAGCTCAAAGAAACTCTAGCATGTGCAGTGGCCATACCTGAGCAAAACACTTTGGCAGACAGGCTAAATCAGGCTGAGGATAACTCAGGGGTCTCAAACTCGTTGGTGAGTTAGAGGGGTGTCTACCTCAAGCATGTGAAGATATCCCCCAGCAGAATGGGCGGATGAGAACAATTTGTTCCAATGGCCATAAAGGTAGTTGAGGCAGGTACCATGGAGTGCTTAGAAGCCAAGGTCATCCATTTCACCCCAAGCCATTGCCAGTTCTCTTGACTTTTGTCTTGCCACTGGACTTTGATGACTCAGGAAGAGAGAGTGAGGACAGACACTTTGTGCAACTATGCCTCACTAAAATCCGATTTATGCACAAGTCAAAAGATATCACCCATACCATTTTTACCAAATGTTCATATGGATTAATTGTACCTGACCTGTGATAGAGTCTTTTGAGCTCATATTGGTCTGATCAGCCACAGTGGGACACATTGTACCTTAACCCTAACATAGCGATATCATTTTGGTCTTTAAGAATGAAGGACCT